TTAAGCCTGCCTGTCACCCCTGCTCCCTGTCACAGAGCTCCCTTTTACTAATATTCTTGGAATTTGAAACAAACACAGTTTGCGATGATATTGATGCCGCCTGTCCTCCCCACTGGACTCCGAGCCCCAGAAGGCCAAGTACCTGGTCCGCTCTGGTGCCCGCCCGAGCCTCCTCCACTTCGGAAGAGCTGAGTTACTCAGTTTGAGTTGAGGCTCACATTCTGTGAGGGGCATGAGGCAGGTGGGAAAACGAGGCAGAGAGGAGAACAGGGGTTCCAGAGGGGAAGGGGGGCAAGGCCTGGCAATGGAGGGATGGGGGCTGGGGGGAGGAGGGGCCAACAGAGTCATCCCCTCACTACTCAGGAGCAGTGGCTGCTATGCCCTGGCGGGCTGGGTACCCCCCTCAACAATGTCCTGAGGTTACTGTTTGTCTGGGGGGCTGCCCTTCATCCCTACCTGGCTACGTGTCACTTACACGATTTAAATTGAAAAGTGATGGACATTTAGGGACACAAGGAATATAATAGAGCCCAGTCAAAGGATTTTTACAGTGTCCCTTCCTTCCCTACCAGTCACACTGATGCAAGATGACTGGAAAGTGTCCACCCCGCCTCCAACTCTCTGCCTAATCAGGGATTTCTCAGGACATGGGATCAGCCCTGGATGTGATCTGGGCATCGCTTGGCGCCACGATGGGTGTGGAGGGACGCTGCTCACATCCCCCAGCCCCTGCACAAGTATGCACGTGGATAACTGTGCGTGGGAAGCAGAATAATGGTTCCCCAAAGACGTTTGTATCCTGATCGCTGGAACCTGTGAACATGTTAAGCTATGGCAAGGGGGAATCGAGGTTGTTCATCAGATGACACTTTGAGATGGGAGATTATCCTGGATTGTCCAGGTAGTCCAATGGCATCTCAAAGGTCCTTAAATGAGGGACGTGGGAGGTAGAAGAGTCAGAACCAGAGAGAGGGCAGCATGAAAAAGATTCAGTCAATTGTTGATAGCTTTTATGATGTAAATGGTCCACAAGCCAAGGAATGCAGGCTGCCTCTGGAAGCTGAAAAAGTCACAAAACAGGTCCTCCCCCTAGAGCTTCCAGAAGGAACACACACCTCTCTACTCCTTGATTTTAGCCCAGGAAGACCCATTTTGGACTACTAACCTCTGGAACTGTAAGATAATAAATAAATGTTGCTTTAAGCCATCAAGTTTGGGGTAATTTGTTACAGCAGCAGCAGCAGGAGACTACACACTGGGTAATTTCTTCCTCTCCTGCCTCTCCCCAGAGTAAAAGGCAGAGGCCCAAGGACAGTCAGCCTTAACTCTCTGACTTCAGCTGGGGTGCTGCAAGGCGAAATTTCCTCTACTCTTAAAAGAAGCCTGAATGCAGTCATGGGCTGTATAACAACATTGCAGTCACTGACAGGACTGCCTACACAGTAGCAACCCCAGTGGATTACAATGGAGCTGAAAGCCTATCCCCTAGTGCCTTCCTAACACACTAGTAACGTGCGAAGTATTACACAAATACTTACCATTGTGTTGCAGTTGCCTACAGTATCCAGTACAGCACAAGCCTGCTGTATAGACCTGTAACCTAGGCGCTGTGGGGGAACAGAATTTGTCCCCCAACATATGTTTCTTTGGCATAAGGACGATTTTAGGTTGGTTCATTTTAAGAGATCCTATCCCCGTGTTTGGCACATATCAAGTGAATATCTGGAACCTCAGGGTTCCAAAGCCTACAATAAGTGCTGTCTTACAAGGTCTAGGAGACCACAGGTGGCGCAGTGGGAGAGGCATCGGCTTGCGAGTCTGTCAGCAGTCACCCTCCTTCAGGCTGCCCGCTACCCTTGGGCAAGTCCTTTAGCCATTCTAGACCTCCTGCCTGAAAAAATGAAGATATAATGGATCAGGGGCTCAAGAAAAGCTGGCGCATGCACACACGCACATTGGTAAAAACGCGACCCCTGACATTCTAATGCGATTTGCACTTTTCCGTACAGGATTTCATTTCACCCTCAGGCCAACCCCACAAGTAGCTGTAGAGCCCCCTTTTTGACAGGTGAAAAAAACAGTAGGGAGGACTGGGCCTCTCGCCGCGCGACTGGACGGAAGATGTTGGACCTTCTCCCCGTGCTCCGAGGCTCGCGAGGGTCCCGGGCTGGGGGCGCAGTGCGGGCTCGGCGCCCGCCGGGAGACTACATTTCCCAGGAGGAGTTGCCCGCATCTCTGCGGCTCCGGGATTTTAAAGGGCTCGCGTTGAAGGGGGCGTAGGGAGTTCCGCCGTCTGCCGGGGAGAAAACGGCTCTTCGATCCATAAATAGGGACTCGAGAGCAGTCTTTTTAGTGCCCGGGTAGGGCCCGGCCTGAATCAAGAGTCCCCCAGGCTCTGCAGAGGCGAGGTGCGGCCAAGCTAATCCGTGGGCAGCGTTTCCTTACCTTGCCTTCATCGGCCTCGGACTCTGCACCCAACTCTGGGGGAACCTCTTCCGGACCCTCCCTTTCCCTCAGTTCTCCCGAACAGGGGTATGGGCGGCGAATTCGGCTGCCTAGCGGGAGGTGCCCGCGACCCCTCCCTCTTTTTCTGGCTTCAGTTCCGGGAGAGAATTTACAGGTCGTTGGGATGGGCGGGGATAGGAATGTGACCGCTAAAAGCCTGGGGGCGCCGGGAGCTGCACCTCACAGTGCGCCCCCTTATGCACCCTAAAGATTTCCTCGGCTTCCACGGGAAAGTAGGGGTGATGGGGCTAGTAATCACGTTGCTTGCCTCCCCAGGGAGGAGGATCAAGAAACGGGTGGAGAGCACTTTGCAAATTGTAATGCATCGTGTAAATAAAATTATTTCGTCATTGTGTCATTGGATTCATCCAGTCCCTAGTCTAAGAGGTGCACAGACCCCCGGCGGGGTTGGGGGCTGTGACAGGTCTCTAAAAGCGCAGGGTGGAACGTCTTGGACTTGGGGGTGTCAATTTGGGTATCTATTTCCCCACCCAGATCTTAGGGGGAACCGGAGAATTGTCTTTGAAAATAATCAAAACAAACCCACCAGAATGTTGTGTTTTCAAATCAGGAAACTTAAGGGTAATTGACATCAACCAAATAAGAACTTAACCTTTTGAACTAACCTAGCCCTTCATGCTTCCCGTCCCCACCTGTGCCACCAAGATAAGCCCGGAGAGAAGGCATCTGATACCAGGTCTCAGGTCTCCCCCCACCTTCTCCCAATCATTTGGATTAATCCATCCCTTGGGGTGGGGGTGGGGGAACCCATTTATTTCCCTGGCCTCCGAGACTCCCAAGTCCAGTATGAGCCCTTTTCCCCCTCCCCCGCATCCCTGCTAAGACCCTGTCCCGCACCTAAACCCTCCAACCTTCTCAACAGCCTGTCTGCAAACAGCTCCCGGCAGTACCGGAGACACGTTCATCATTTTGACCAGCTATAACCACCCCCACCCCGCAATCACTACCCGCCCCCCGCCGCCCCCGGCTCCCAGGGTATTGTTTTGAGTGAAGAGTGATGGGTTTCTGCTTAGGGAATAAAAACGGGTTTGTTGTGGGATGTGGCTTAAGGAGCGAGCATCCCAGAATATCAAACCAGGGCCCCTGCCAAGCGGGACCCTGCGTGGAAGTAGGATGTGTGTCGCAAACAAGGTGCTCTGTCCCAGGAGTTCTGGGGTCCCTTCCGCTGGCCTGTGGGCCCCTAAACCCTCTCAGAGCCCCTCAAGACTCCCTAAAGATGGTGGCGACCCTTGTTTGCCTCATCTATACCTGCCAAGTACAGGAAAAGATGTACACATTTTAACAAAGACATTGCATCCTCCCAGCAAAATGGCGGTGGTCCCAGCCCCGGTTCCCTGAACGACCGCACACTTTCCGAGATTAGTTAGTGCCCAAGGAACGAGACCCTCTTCTCGACCTCTCCCCCAGAGCCCCGGTTTCCCAAGCTCTACGGCACTCAGAGCTTTCCTCATCCCAGGGGCCCCCAGGACAGCCTCTGGTTAGAGCCTGTGGGGAAGTTCCTCCATTGCCGTGCTCCCGCCCCCGAGACCCCCCGCCTTGGAGGGTCCTTGGGAGGGGGACTGGACCCCTAAGCTGTGCCTCAGGAGTGGGGAGAGCGGGCTTTGTCTTTGACACCCCCAAACTCCTAGGCTGAGGGAGGCATATAAATGAATTCCCTGTTAGGATATATGGGAGATGTGGGGGTCTTTGAGGAGCGCAGGAGACTCGGGAGACCCCTCCTCACTGCCTCAGGGGACCCTGGAAGCATTGGGGGTTCGGCCTCAGGAGAGAATCTCCATCGCAGAGGTCAGGGGGCCCGCTGGGGGAGAGCCCATAGAGGAGGGGGAAGGGACAAAGTTTGAAAGTGCCCTTCCAACTCTTCCAAGGAAAGTTTGCTCAGGGGCCCAATGGACAGAGAGGGGTTAGAGGTGCGGGGAGCCCGGTGGCGGGATGACCCCCGAGAGGTGACCGGACCCCGGGGGAGCGACCCCTCCCCCCTGTCCCGGCTCGGCCCGGCTGGGAGTCGCCCGGCTCGGGGCCGCGTGTGTTAGTTGGGGCCGCTTTCCGGCCGCTCCGCCGGGCCGGGGGACCCCGCAGCGGGCCGGGAGCGGGGTCCCCGGTAGCCCCAGGGGGGGAGCTTTGCTACGGGGGGTTTCCCGCACCGGGGCACCCCGGCCCCACAGAGCCAGCCCCCAGCAAAGGGGAAATGTGCCGGCACACCAGCGGTCCTCAGCGCCGTTTGGGGCGCCTGGCGGGCTCGGGGGGCGGCGGTCCGGCCGGCGGGTCGCCTGGCGGGGGAGCCCAGGGAGCCGGGCAGCGACCCCGGGCGGCGGCGAGGAGCGGAAAAGCCCGGGGCGGGGAGAAAGGTCGGATTTGCTCGGCGGAAGAAACACAGATGGCGGCGGCGCAGCGCCATTCCGGGCCGGGAGCAGGCAGCCAGCAGCCCTGTCCTCACCGCGGTCCGCCCGCCGCCGCTAAATACCCGGATGCGCCGCCTGAGCGCCAGACGCGGAGCTGGGAAAAGAGAGGCAGCGGAGGCGGTGTCAGAGCCAGAGCCAAAGACAGAACCAGAGCCAGGGCCAGAGTCGCAGCCGCACGCAGAAACACACCGACCGGCGGGGCTGGGCACGCAGAACCGGTCCAGCGAATTGTCCCGCGACGCGAGCCAGGTCCCAGAGAACCGGGCTTCGGACTGGCCTGGGAGTCAGGGACGCGAAAGCCGATCCCGAGTCGGGTTTTGCTCGGCCTCCGACGGGGGCTGGCCTTTTTGAAGGCACCTTCTTCAATAGCAAGACCAAGCAGCCCACCATGACCGAAAACTCCACGTCTACTCCTGCTACCAAGCCCAAGCGGGCCAAGGCTTCCAAGAAGTCTACAGACCACCCCAAGTACTCAGACATGATCGTGGCTGCCATCCAGGCAGAGAAGAACCGCGCTGGTTCCTCGCGCCAGTCCATCCAGAAGTACATCAAGAGCCACTACAAGGTGGGCGAGAATGCCGACTCGCAGATCAAGTTGTCCATCAAGCGCCTAGTTACCACCGGGGTCCTCAAGCAGACCAAAGGAGTGGGTGCTTCGGGGTCTTTCCGGCTGGCCAAGAGCGATGAGCCTAAGAGGTCAGTGGCCTTCAAAAAGACGAAGAAAGAAGTCAAGAAGGTGGCCACGCCAAAGAAGGCAGCCAAGCCCAAGAAGGCAGCCTCCAAAGCCCCCAGCAAGAAGCCCAAAGCCACCCCAGTCAAGAAGGCCAAGAAGAAGCCGGCTGCCACGCCCAAGAAAACCAAAAAACCCAAGACTGTCAAAGCCAAGCCAGTCAAGGCATCCAAGCCTAAGAAGGCCAAACCAGTGAAACCCAAAGCCAAGTCCAGTGCCAAGAGGGCCAACAAGAAGAAGTGACAGTGAAGCTTTTCTTGTGGACACTCCTGCCTGTCTCCTTATTTTCTGTAAATACTTTTTTCCTTCTCTTAATCCTCATCTGCAGCCCCTTCCCCCTTTGTATTCTGACTTAATGGGAGGCAGAATTTGGATTTTTCAGAAATTAGGGAATAGTTCATTTTTCCTTAACCAGTCGTGCAAGGACAGCAAAAACAATCTCATCTCTGTAATGATGAGAAATACTTTGTTCTGTTAATTTGTTATTAATCTAAGGGTTTGGGGTGGGTTGGTGTGTTTTGTTGATATGAAGGTAAAAGTGGGGAGTGGGCGGTATCAGAAAGACAGCTTGTCCTGGCTAGTTGAGAGGGAGCCCAGGAATTGTGAGGTTTGTAGGAGTATCTTTTAAGACAAGTGAGCTTTAAATTGAGCAGCCCTTGAGAGTTTCAGAACCTTGTTGGGGAGGAGAGGGGTGGCAGCAGCTGGACACCAAGTAGGGAGGTGGAATAAACCCTCTGGGCTGACTTCCACCTCCCAATGGTGAGCAGTGGGGGATCCAAATCCAGTTTCCTTCTCACTTCTGTTAGTCCTTGTGGCCTCCCTATTGTCCTGGGGGAAGGGAGGGGGTGTCAAAATGACAGCTGGTCTGAGAAGCTGTGGCTTCTCTCAGCTGGAAACTAGCCATGGGGGGGAGGGTCTTTGTGGCTTCGGAAAGTCTCCTGTTATGGGAGTGGAAACTTTGGGGGAAGGGTGGGGAGTCAGTCAGCCAAGTGCCTCAGTGAGCCCTATTGAAACTTGGGTTTTTCCACGCAATTGGATTGTATTCCCCTGGTTTTTGGTTCCTCCTGTACAAGAGGTGGCTTTGGTGGTCTGGTGAGTCTCCAGCCCTGCCACCGCCACTTAAAAACTTCCCGACCTCTTTTACTTCTGAGTATTTTCTAAGTAGTGGTAGATGGGGGAGGGGTAGTGGGCGGGGAGTGGACAGTAAGACATACTGCAGTCGTTTTTTCAATCGCTAAGTAGTTTTACAGAGCTAGGTCTGTGTATGTGCGTGTAAATGTGTATATATCTATCTAGAGCTAGCACTTAACGTTTCACACACGGGAGCTGGGAGAAAAAAACCTGTACAGTCGTCTTTTCTCATAATATAGGAAAGCGCACAATTGCGCGTCGTAACCCTTCCCCCTTTTTTTGTATAAAAAAAGAAAAACAAAAAGTGTTATTTGTGCCGGGAAGAATTTGCTGTCTTTGTAATTTTAAAACTTTAAAATAAAAACTAAAAAGGACAAAAATCTGGGTGGTATTTTTCCTCACTTCTAAGATTGTAGAAGGCGAAGCAATCGGGCGAGTAGTGGGGGAAAATCTAGGGGCGTTTGCACCTGAGAAGGGAGGGAGGGTTCCAAGAGCTCCACAGAAACAGAAATTTTAGGATTGCAGGGGACAGAACGTGCCTCAGGGTGCTGCTTTTCGGATCCAGAGCACCCGTTCCGAGAGATGGGGGTGTGAGCATGGGATGGGAATGAGCTAGGGGGTCTGACGGGCTGGGCCCCGCCGACTAGCCTCCCTTGCCCCTTCACGGACCTCTCCAGTCTCAATTTACAAATCAATCTACTTTCGTCCGCTGCGCCTTTAGCCCGGCCCCGCCCACCTGCGCCTGGGCCCGCCTTTGCGCCCCTTCCCGGGAGCTCCTCTTGCTCAGATTGGCTGGCGGGACCCAGCCCCCGGCCACGTGACAGGCCGCGACGCGCGGGGCTGCCGGACAGGCGCGCTCGCGCGAGGTAGGTGAGGTGTCGCGATGTGGGCCGGCTCGGCTCTCCGCGCCGCGCTCTCTCGGGCCCCCGGCGGCAGCCGCGCGCGCTCAGCGCTGGCGCAGCTGCGTGGCATACTGGAGGAGGAGCTGGAAGGGATCCGCGGGGCTGGCACCTGGAAGAGCGAGCGGATCATCACATCGCGTCAGGGGCCGCGCGTCCACGTTGACGGCGTCTCCGGAGGTAACTCCCCCTCCCGGGAGTCGTGGGACGTGGCCGGGTGTTAGAGGGCCGTCCTGAGGCTTGCGCTGAATGGAGGTCCTGGAGGCAGTGGGAGGCGACAGCCCCTCACACGTAGCCACTGGCCCCTCTTTCAGCTAGCATGCCTACTGTACGGCCTGCTAACCTGGTTAAACCTGTTTCCCTGAAGGGAGGTGATTTGCCCTTGAGCACCTGTTTGCCTCAGAGGGCAGGGCGGGACTGAGACCCAACCCCGGGAGAACGTGAGAAAAAAAGAGGCAAACCCAGCTGGGTCCCACCCTGCTGCTTCAAGAAGGGTGATGGGAAGACTCAGCAAGAAACCCCACGTTTCTGGAGCTGCTCTTTTATGTGCGCCCCTAATTGCTGCACGTGGACTCTTGCAAACCTCCAAACGTTGGAATGACTAATAGCACTTTACAAACAAAAAAACTTCTAAGTGTGAAGTAAGCGGCCCCAAAGCCCCCAGCGAGCTGCAGGCAGAGCTGGGCTTTGGTCCAGGTTTCTGCTGTATTGGAGCTGGAAGGTCAGCTAATGGGCCACAGAGGCCAGGGTCACAGTGAGCAAATGGCTCATGGACTGCTGCAGGAGTCGCACAAATTGGCACACCTGGTCTCCCCCTCGTTTCTGTCTAACCAGTGGTCACTGCCCCTCCGTCTGTGCCAGGTCCCAAGTGGGTGCTGGGTACAGAGGCCCCCACTACTGCCTTCTACCCAGGAAGCAGGCATGGAATCCTTGGTGCAGTTGCACTCATTTGTAAAACGGAGGTCCCAGGAAACCTCCGCCTCCCCCCAGGGGAAGCTTGGAGCAGGTCAAAAGACTGGAAATTAGGAGACCCCAGTGCCCATCCTGTTTTTGCCTCTCCTGGGCTGAGTGAACTTTCCTCCTCAAGCCTCCGTTTCCTCCTTGGATCAGCTGTGTTCACTCTAGGCTCTATTATTCAGGGTCCAGGTCTCAGAGGCACCCCTCTTGGGCCTGTGATGCTTTACCAGGCAGCAAAATCAACCCTGCAGTTGGAGGACCGCAGCGAATGTCTGACCCAACCCTCTTCTTTTACCCGCAGGGAAACCAAGGCCCAGACTACGGGTTGCTGGTGGTCCTCAGGCCTGTGAGGTCGGGCTGAGTTCTTCCTCGGGGGGAATGTGATTCAGAGCCAGAGTGTAATTTTCTTATCCTTCAAGGTGCCACTCTGAGAGTCCTTTCCTGACCTTTCCTCTCCTACTGCTGGTGGATTCGGTGCCTCCTAGGGTTCTCCAGATCCCTGTCCTGGCCTCTGCCCCCAGATGGATCATTCTGTGTGGTCGTTGCCTCCTCAAGGGTGAATCTGGGTTCATTTATTCCCTGGGTCCCCAGGGCCCAGCACCTTCCCAGGCCTTCCTTAGGGCCTTGAGCTGCTGTGTCTGATCCCTGTCCTTCACCTCAGGAATCCTTAACTTCTGTGCCAACAACTACCTGGGCCTGAGCAGCCACCCCGAGGTGATCCAGGCAGGTCTGCGGGCCCTGGAGGAGTTTGGAGCTGGCCTTAGCTCTGTTCGCTTCATCTGTGGGACCCAGGTACACAGTGGGTGTTGCGAGGGGGTGGGGTTGGGTAGATCAGGGCCTGTCCACAGCACGGGCCACTGACCCCAGCCGTCTGCTTCCCACAGTCAACGGGGCTGGTTTAGCCAGCTCAGCTCATCCCGTCCCGGGGCTGTAGGCCGACTCTTAGCCACAGAGCCGTCCGCTAGAAAGAGTGGGCTCAGGCTTCTGTTTTACTGAGAAGCCTTGGGTGAGAAACTTTGTCTCTCTGAGCATCTATTTTCTCACCTGCAGAACAGAGCTCACCTGTCCTCCTACAGAAAAGGAAGAATAAAAGGCAGGGCCTGAGATCAGGGGTTCGGAGCTATTCTACCTGAGCCTAATTCCCAGCACCACCTTTTATTTGCTCTGTTACCATGGGCAAGTGTCTTCACCTCTTTGTGCCTCAATCCCTTCGTTGGTAAAATAGAGATAATAGTACTTAATAGAATCCTTACAAATAAAAGAGTTAATACATGTAAAAATGCTTAGAACAGTGCTTGACACATAGCAGCGCTCAATGAATGCTGGTCATTATTTTATTTTGTGTTACAAAATAAACATATAAACATGAAACTTAACAGTGCTTACTATGTGTCAGATACTGTTTTAAGAACATTATAACTATTAAATTCATTAGTGCTCATAACAATCCTAAGTGATACATGCGGTTTTCATCCCTGTGAAAGAGATGAGGACACTGAGGCCCAGAAAAGTGAAGTGACTTGCTGAAGGGCGTGCATGCTGTCACGGTACGATTTGAACCCAGGTGGCCTGGCTCACGAGTCCATGCTCTTGCCTACTTGTGATTACGATTACTTAGCCTCTCAGAAATGTGAGGAAATGAATGATGGGACTCCTAACTTCCAGCCAGGGCACTTTACAGCAAAATCCTCACCCAGACTGGACAGCTTTCATATCTAAGAATCCGGAGTCCACATGAACTTAGAGTTACTTGTGTAATCCTCTGCCATAAAGCAATCAAAACAGGCGCTCAGTTTGGTGTCAAGAAGACACATCTCCCTTTGCCATCAGTACACATAATTGCACTATCCAACCCCTATCACAAAAAGAAGAGCCAACCAGGAAGGGGCCAGCTAGCAAGCCCCTGATTCTTCAGTGAGAACCATCTGCCAGGTTCCTACTGCTCTGAGGAAGGCTTTTGGTGAAGAAGGAAGGGAAAGACCAAGGCTGCAGGCCTTCTTGGCTGGGTGTTTGTGGCCTTCTAGGCCTCTATCCCCAGGACTCGTCCCATGTGACCCTGCAGGCATTAACACCTGTCCTACTCACTTTCTTCAGAGCATCCACAAGGATCTAGAAGCAAAGATAGCCAGCTTCCACCAGCGGGAGGATGCCATCCTTTATCCCAGCTGTTTTGATGCCAACGCTGGCCTCTTTGAGGTGCGTGGGGACCATGGGTGGGAGTTAGTGAGGCCTGCTAGGCTGTGGAAAGAGTAGGCAGTCAGGAGGGCGGGGCGGGATGCCAGTGCTGTGGCTAAAGACTCCAGGGATCGCTTCTTCCAGATGTCAGGTTGGGCCAGGTAGGTGTTCCAGGAAGAGTCCCAAGGCTTGCAAGGACGCCATCTTCCAGGGCATCTGGGAGGTGACCCATCTCAACTGGATGGCTGGGAGGGTCAGGGGCCAGGCGCTCACCAAACACACCCTCACCTGGTCTCACAAGAGCAGGGCCCTTGTCCTGGGGCTCTGGGGACCCAGGTGGAGGTGGAGGGCTCTTTGCCTCCCTGCCCAGAAGACAGTGAAATTTGGACTCAGGGGCTGAGTCATAGGAGAGGGAGAACCCCAAGGTGTTTGGCTGATGGCTCCACTCTAATTGTCTCCTTCCAGGCCCTGCTGACCCCCGAAGATGCAGTTCTATCAGATGAGCTAAACCATGCCTCCATCATCGATGGCATCCGTCTTTGCAAGGCCCACAAGTACCGCTACCGCCACCTGGACATGGCCGATCTAGAAGCAAAGCTGCAGGAGGCGCAGGTGGGGCAAGGCCCACGGGCTCCAGGGGCAAAGACTGGGTTTATCCTTAGCCTCCTGAGGCCAACTTTGCGCTCGCAAACAAATAGCCTGAAAGTTTGAAACAGCCAAGGTTTCAATGCACATCCCTCAGACACAGCTTTTTTTCATTGCACCTTGTTGCCTTGGGCCCCTTATGTGTGGCAGGCTCCTAGTAGGCGTAACAGCAGAATGCACTTTTGGAAAGAACTGGCCCCACCCCACACCGCCCTCTGAAGGAGACACTGAGAGCCTTCTCACTGCCCAGGGCTCTAGGTTGTCCTGGAAGAGATGAGTAAGGCTCAGAAAGGCATGGATGAGGCAGAAGATGTTCCAGTCCCGATACAGTAGTGCTTACGTGCCTACCTCTGTGCTGGGCACTGGGCAAGGTGACCTCTTAGAGCCCTCAGTAGCACAGGTGAGTGGTTGGCCTAGCATGTCACACCAAACACCACCTGCCCATGCCTCCCCTGCAGAAGCATCGACTGCGCCTGGTGGCCACTGATGGGGCCTTTTCCATGGATGGTGACATCGCACCCCTGCAGGAGATCTGCCGCCTTGCATCTCAATATGGCGCCCTAGTCTTTGTGGATGAATGTCATGCCACTGGCTTCCTGGGGGCCACAGGAAGGTGGGAGCATGTGCCACCCAAGGCCTTGGGTTGGGCTTCTAAGGGTGGGCAGGAAACCAGGAGGCCAGCCCCAGCTCAGCCCTTGACTGATGGGCGCTCAGAAGGCCTGCGGTGGCAGCGGCGGCTCTCCTTGCAGGGGCACGGATGAGCTGCTGGGCGTGATGGACCAGGTCACCATCATCAACTCCACACTGGGGAAAGCGCTGGGCGGAGCATCAGGTGCGTACCGGGTTGTGCCCCTGGGGACCCCTTACCCACACGCAGGGCCCTGGAGGAGTCTCACGGAAGGTGGGGAGGCCTGGGACTGCAGACAAGAGGGCAGTGTACTCACAGGAGGCACTTAGGATGGGCTCTGGTTCCTGACTACCTCACCCCTGCTCTTGTTCTCAGGGGGCTACACGACAGGGCCTGGGCCCCTGGTGTCCCTGCTGCGGCAGCGTGCCCGGCCCTACCTCTTCTCCAACAGCCTGCCACCTGCTGTTGTTGGCTGTGCCTCAAAGGCCCTGGACCTGCTTATGGAAAGCAACACCATTGTTCAGTCTATGGCAGCCAAGACCCAGCAGTACAGTCCCTGGCAGGGGTGGGAAAGGCTGGGTGGGAAGCTGCTGAGGCCTGTCCCTGTGTACCTGCCCGGCCCATACCTACAGGCTCTGCCTCTGTCCATTGCGCATCCCCAGCAGGCTGCACTGGGACCCAGCTAGGCCTCTTCCTTCCATTTCCTGGCATATTTCTCTGCATGTGACCCTGTGTCTCCCTGTCTTTTTTGTCTTTCCACCTCCTCCCTTTTTGGTCTGCTTGTTCCTCCGCCTGACTTTCTGGGTCTGCAGCTCTGCCTTGGTTGGTTCCTTCTGCAGGCTTGGGCCCAGATCTTGGGTCATGTGCCCATCAGGAGCAGGTGTGAATGATCCACAGCCCCCAGCGACCTGTGACACCCAGCTTGTGCCAACAGGTTCCGCAGTAAGATGGAGGCTGCTGGCTTCACCATCTTGGGAGCCAACCACCCCATCTGCCCTGTGATGCTGGGTGATGCCCAGCTGGCCTCTCGCATGGCGGATGACATGCTAAAGAGAGGTAAGGAGGCCAGGACAAAAGGGCTGGCTGTGTGGCCTAAGAGAAAATAGTGGGGAACCCCTAGACTGTGAATACTCCCCTCTTATCCCTGCCCATCTATTCTTTTTAAGTTTTTAAAGCCAGAATTTATTTTTATTTAAAAAGGCCCAAAAGCCTAAAGATGTCCAAGTTTAATATAAAATCATACTGAGGGGGTGTCTTTAGGTTTCTCCATTACTAAGATATTGATTTGATCCTTGTTAATGAAACACCCTGATAATTCTTCTAATTGGGTAGTGGTGAATTCCTCTGATTCCCAGTATCTTTCATAAGTGGCCATCCCCTTCCGAATGATGAGAACTGTAATACCAGAAATGATCACGAAACGTCTGCAGGTTCTACTTGAATAGCTCTTCTGCATTATTCTTTGAAACCAGGCCCAATGATTATTACTTTGAGTAGTGGAGATCACAATGAATGTCATTTGCAAAGACTGGTATTAAATGTACCTCCTTCAGAACAGAAACCAGCAAACACCCTTCAAGATAAGACACATCCCACTACCCTTTTTAGATCAGCTGTCCAAACTTGAGAAACCCGGGCCATGAGGCAGTCCGTGCCTGAGAGACTGTGGGCAGCTCCCTTGGCCTCTCTGATCCTTAGGAAAGTAGGAGCCGTATGCCATGCCCCAAAGCCTGCTTGGCTCTGATGAGTCCCAGATTGACCCTCTCTACCTTCCCAGGCATCTTTGTCATCGGGTTCAGCTACCCAGTCGTTCCCAAGGGCAAGGCCCGAATCCGGGTCCAGATCTCAGCAGTGCACAGTGAGGAGGACATCGACCGCTGCGTGGAGGCCTTCGTGGAGGTGGGGCGGCTGCACGGGGCATTGCCCTGAGCTCTGGATAGCGACAAGCAGAGCCAACCAAGGTCCCCCTCTCTCCACGGCAACAAAGGGACCCTTTGATCATCAGCGCAGGCCAGAGGCCCTGGGGCCTGTCAAAGTCCTAAGACTGGTCTCGGGCAAGGCATATGGTTGTGGCTGTGAGCGTGAAACAATTGTGGAAATTGGCTGTGACATGTTGCTTTATTCTCCCTGAGCAGGTTGACCTGCCCTGTGATCAGCGGAAAAAGCAGGCAGGAGCTGCGGCTGTGTGGGCAGCCTCCTGAGAGCTGTAGTAGACCTTAGAGCTGACTCTCCTCCAAATGAGGATGAGACCCAGGCAGCTGGGCTGACATGGCAGGAGCCACCGGCTGGCTCAGCTGGGATCTGGGCTCCTGTAGAGGGAGCTGAGTACCAGCTCTGCAGGCCCTTTGCCTCCCCACCCACCCTTTACTGTGCTACCTCCCGAGTCTAGCCTTGGTGAACGCCTTGTCCTCTGCTTCCTGACCAAAGGATGATCTACAGCTGCCCAGATAAGAAGGGGCTGGGTACCAAGACCTGTGTTGGGAGGGGAGGCAGAGGATTCAGGCCCCACAGGAAAGGGTGGGTCACTACTGGCGAGGCCCCTGCCTGTCTGGAAACCTGTATTCTAGCCCACTTTGTTGCCAACTCTGTGGCCAACCCTTGTGTGTGCCTCAGCGTGTGCCATGCTGTACCAGGCATGTATGTTACCTTAATGCCTGGGACTTTCCAGCTGCCTCATCCCCAGGCCTGCTGGCCTGTTGACCAGCCGCCAGGGGGCGCAGCGAGCTCAGGCTCCGGTTGCTCCGGCCCCGCCCCTACAGACTACTGGCCTTGGATTCCGCTGTTGGGGCCGCTCCGCCTGCGTGGCCAGAGGGGCCAATTGGCTGCTATTAAGGCCCCATCCACCCTTGTGCTCCAGAACGCCTTGCTGTGCCACTCCTGGAGATGGCAACCCCCTTCCCACAGTCGCGTCCCCTAGCCCTTCTCTCTCCATTGCCCTCCCCACTCAGCCTTATAGGCAGTGGGTGGGGGTGGGGGGTGGCTTCTGAGTCACCGTAGCTCCAGTCTGAGCGTGGTGTGGCCTTGGGAAGCTCTCGCAGTTTGCTGGGGGTAGAGCAGGGAGGGTGAAAAAGGCCCTTATTAACAACTGGGAACTAGGACAAGGTCTCCAATGCCCCATATCCCCAGCGCCCTTCCCTTTCCCTTTCCCTAGGAATCCTGGGATAAACAATCTGGTGAGCTCCAGCCCAATCCTGCAGGATTTTTTTTTTTAAGATTTTATTTTTAGAGAGAGGGGCAGAAACAGTGATGTGTGAGATTGCCTCTCAAACACTCCTAACCGGGGACCTCGCCTGCAACCCAGCATGTGCCCTGACCAGAATCGAACCTGTGACCTTTCAGTCTGCAGGGTGGTGCCCAACGCTCTGAGCCACACCAGTCAGGGCCAGTCCTACAGGATGTTGACTCGGGGATTCTGGACATCCTAGCCTGTGATCTGGAAGAACTAGAGGCTGAGGCCCAGGATGCTGGGGGATGCAGCCAGGGAAAGGAGGCTGCTGTGACCACATGAGACGCAGGAACACTTGCATGTAGCCCCCACTGAGGCAGGGCACCTGGTGCCAGGCGTGCTGCTGCAGCAGCAAAGGGCTCATAGCCTAACACCAGTACCAAGCCCAGCAAGGAGCTTGATGTGTGGGGTCTGCACAGCCTAGCAGGTCATACCCGAAGGCCACAATCACAGTCACGGTGCCCTACCCAGCGGAGCCAGAGCACCTGGCCCAGGTCCACCAGGCAGTGGCACAGAGTGTGTGCTGCCACTGGCATAGCACTCCCCAGCAGGCGCAGCAGCAACGCAACATCCTGGGCCTGGCCGTGGTAGTACCCTGCGTGGTAGACCAGGTATGGAGCGGTGCTGGCCCTGGTCCACTGCTAACCAGAAGGGGTCCTAGGAGGTGCCATCTGGAGTAGCAACAGTGCTGGTTGCTTGGGCTTGGACACATGCTGATAGTTGTTGCTGGACACCCACAACAGACTAGGGGTGGCCATGGATCAGCCGCACTTACATGTACTGTGGGACCAGGGGCTGAGGGGTACCGTTCCTAGGACATACAACCTACATCTCCTGCGTTGGGCACAGTGTTCAAGCCATGGCCGCTAGGAGCAGCATTTGGAACAAAGGGAGGAAGGGGCACCAGGGGTGTGCTGGCACCGGGGCATAACAACAGGCCCTGCCTGCATGTTCCACAGTCAGGCCTTCTGTGGTCACCTCCCTCCCTCTGCATCTACTCTCGTAGCTGCTCAGCCTTGTGGCCGCTAGAGTTCTAGTGCTACCAGAACCTCGCCAAGGGCGAGGAGGAGCCTCGTGGGCTGGGGGCCCCCAAGGGAAGGGAGGACAGTATGCCAGGGATCTCAGAAGCTTTCAGGGTGCGGGCGTGACATGTTCGTGAGTCCAGGGTCCTGGGAGTCTACAGGTATATTTTCATAAAGGGTTGTTGTGGACCTCTGTCAGTGACTAAAGTCCCACACACCTATAATTCTGCCTTTCAGCGATCACAAGGTTCTATAGTTCTAATTCCTTAACCCAGGCTGATAACTCTGAATTCAGATTTCGATGAGTCCTAGTATCTTCAATTCAATGAGTCTGTGTTTCCAAAAACTGCGGATGCTCTGCACCTGGGGCGAGAGACATCGGGCTTCAGAGGAGCACTTCTGAGCACTGGTAGAAGTCCCAGGAGCCTGCGAGGAGCGGCTCTGAAGAGTTCCCTAGCTCTTCAGGCCTCGGGGGCAAGTCTAGGCTTCATCAGCATCCCCTCAGACTATTCTCGCTCTCCCAGACTTTCCCCTGGACAGTCTTTCCATCCTCCCAGCTTCTAGAAAGACTCCACATGCAGTCCCTAGCATCTCGTCTCTTCCTTAACGCCTTAAAGTCTGCCCTGTGCCCCCTCAACGTTTTTGCTAAATCCAACGCACCTCGTCCCGCAGGTGCTAGCTTCTAGCCCGTTGGCTGTGCGGGCCACTCCTCTAAGCAGTCAGGTCAGATCAGAACCCCTTGACTAAGTTAGCCATTCACCAACAGCTCTTTGGCTATTGCCTGGGAAAGAGGCTTCTAACAGTCACTCATTGAATCGGTCCACCCCAGGCCATAATAAACTAATTATAAAATAAGTGGGTGGGTCCCATCCCTGCTCTAGAACTTTCGCTAGTTCCCTATTGCCCTCTGTGTAAAGCCAGACTCTTTCCCTGGGTACATAAACTCTCCAGTCTTCAGCCAAACAGAAGCCCTGGACAAAGCTTAGGGAAGCTGACGGGTCTTGGGGTTCTCAGGGCAGGAGGGGGAGTCCCACATCAAGTCTGCAGAGGAAGGACTCACATTTTGGTTTCCTAGCCTAGGGCGTGCACCCCAGTCAAGACTAGGAATTCTTTCTTTTTTTTCTTTTTCTAAAAATACTTATTTTTAGAGAGGAGAAGGCAGGGAGAAAGAGAGGGAGAGAGACAGTGATGTGAGAGAGATACATTGGATCAGTTGCCTCTCTCACTCCCCCAACTGGGGACCTGACCCACAACCAGGGCATGTGCCCTGACTGGGAATCAAACCAAAGACCTTTCAGTTCGCAGGCCAGCACTCAGTCCACGGAGCCACACCAGCCAGGGCTAGGAATCCTTTCTGAATTTGGATTGGAGCAGGAGAGGGAAGGATGGGCAGGGCCACAGGAGGTGGGAGTGCCAAGGATGGGATGGGCCCTGGGCACAGAGGGGTTAACTACAAAGCGAATCTCAGAGAGATCAATGGGTTACTCACTGCAGAAAGAGGCAGAAGCAGCGCAGAGAGGCAGAGAAGAGCCAGGCAGAAGAGCGTGCCACCTGTGGGAAATCAGGGACTGAGGAGGAAGTGGCCATTGGGCACTCTGGAGGGGCTGCCCAAGTCCGGCTCAGCAGAGGAGGGGCCTTAAAGGAGAAGAGGGAGAAGTGAGAGGCAGACCTGCAGGAAAGCACCAAGGGGTGGCCCCTGAGCCAGGAGGCAGCCTCAGCCTGACCAGTTTACCCAGGATCAAGCAGGGAGCCCAGTGCCCAGGATCGAGGTGGGTGTTGTGTTGCCCATCCTGCACCTCGGAGGGTCTTTGCATGCTGCGTGCTGGGGGAGGGGAGCAGCTATGTCTTTTCTTCCCCCTCCCCTGCCTGACCCCCTCACCCTGAATCTGTCCCACCAACCTAGAGGTCCCAGGCTGCAGAGGCATCCACAGGCAGTAGCCAATGTGGGCTGTGGGGTGGGTGGGGGCAAGGGTGGACGCAGCTCGCACAAATGCACCCATACGCATACATGCAGGTTTACACAGCACCACCTGTTACATACAGGCTCTCAGACAGGCACCCCAGCCTGGGAGTCAGAGGACCAGGTGGCCACAGCCCCAGGTCTGCCTTTCAGAGCGTGAGATCCAGCCTCCCATGTTCCCTCTCTGAGCCTCAATTTCCTCCCGTGCCCTAAGGGGCCTGTGTGGTTTGCCCAGCTGTGCTACTGTGAAGCCCTCACCAAACTGAACTCTCCAATGACACAGGGGTGTCATCCATGTTTTGCTTTGACCCATGTCCAAGAGTCTCCCCTGAACTTCAGATCCTCATTGAGAAGAAAATATACCTGCTCCTGAGGTTGGAGTGCCCCTCACTTCACGTGCCATGTCCTCACCCAACTCTGCCTGTGTCTTTACCTACGTCATTGCTTGGAGGTGTCCATCAACTCCCTAACCAGCCCCTCAGCACTATGGGAGAAACCCACTTCAGTGTCCTAGAGAACACTCGCCTCAGACGCCGGTGTGGCTGTGCAAGGAGCTTGCACAGTAGGTCTCAGTGATAACTTTTGGCTCTGCCGCCCATTCCCACCCCTAGGAGCTTCTAGCCCAGGCCCAAGCTGAGGAAACTAGGTCCCTGGGTCACGTGACCAGAGCTGGGCAGCCCTGCCTGAGAACTCCAGCTTCTCTTCCCCAGGTGACCGTCTGTTGGAGAGATGGCTGATGTCCAGAACATTTCACTAGACAGCCCAGGGAGCGTGGGGGCCGTGGCCGTGCCCGTGGTCTTTGCCCTCATCTTCCTGCTGGGCACAGTGGGCAACGGGCTGGTGCTGGCGGTGATGCTGCAGCCCGGTCCGAGTGCGTGGCAGGAGCCGGGCAGCACCACGGATCTGTTCATTCTCAACCTGGCAGTGGCCGACCTCTGCTTCATCCTGTGCTGCGTGCCTTTCCAGGCCACCATCTACACGCTGGATGCCTGGCTTTTTGGGGCCCTGGTCTGTAAGGCTGTGCATCTGCTCATCTATCTCACCATGTATGCCAGCAGCTTCACACTGGCGGCTGTCTCGGTGGACAGGTGCGCTGTGCCCAGGACCTGGCTGGGTCTGGGCTGGGGAGGGAAGACCTGAACAGATACTCATTGGCCTTAGGAAAGGGAGAATGGGGGGTCAAAAAGGGAGATGGGAGAGAGGAAAGGAACAGCGCTCTGGCCACCACCGTCCGGTCTCTGGACATCTGCAGGGCATACTTCAGGGGACCGTCCTGCCCTCCCCCCCAACTCCATTGTGAGCTCTCCCCAAACATCTCTGTCTCAAGTTTCAGCCCAGGGCCTGGCACATGGTAGGTGCTCCTGAGTGTGAAATGAACAGCAAAAGGAACATACCAATGAATTCAGATACTTTATTACAGCTCACTCCTGGCCCAGATTGTGGTCGTACCTGTTTTCATGGCTTGGAACTGGGAGGTCAAATTAAGGCTCACCCTCTAGCTGATGACCTTGGCCAAGTCATTTTTCTCTGTGCCTTCAGGCACTGCGCTAAGCACTTTGCCAGTTAATCCCTTCATCACCACCCCCTGGGAAGCAGGTCGAGCGGTCACCCTCACAGCTGTGAAGCTGTCTGTAATCAAGGCGGCCAGCCCCCAGGTCCCATTGCAGGTTTTCTGTCGGGGCGCGGATGTGGGCCGCCAAAGGCTCGCCCGCCGCTCTGACCCGGCGCCCGCCCGCAGGTACCTGGCTGTGCGGCACCCGCTGCGCTCGCGGGCCTTGCGCACCCCGCGCAACGCCCGCGCCGCCGTGGGCCTGGTCTGGCTGCTGGCGGCGCTCTTCTCGGCGCCCTACCTCAGCTACTACGGCACGGTGCGCTACGGTGCGCTCGAGCTCTGCGTGCCCGCCTGGGAGGACGCGCGCCGGCGCGCCCTCGACGTGGCCACCTTCGCCGTCGGCTACCTGCTGCCGGTGGCTGTGGTGAGCCTGGCCTACGCGCGAACGCTGCGCTTCCTGTGGGCGGCCGTGGGCCCCGCAGGCGCGGCGGCGGCCGAGGCCAGGCGCAGGGCCACGGGGCGCGCGGGGCGTGCCATGCTGGCGGTGGCGGCGCTCTACGCGCTCTGCTGGGGACCGCACCACGCGCTCATCCTCTGCTTCTGGTACGGCCGCTTCGCCTTCAGTCCGGCCACCTACGCCTGCCGCCTGGCCTCGCACTGCCTTGCCTACGCCAACTCCTGCCTCAACCCGTTGGTCTACGCGCTCGCTTCGCGCCACTTCCGCGCGCGCCTCCGTCGCCTGTGGCCCTCTGGCCGCCGCCGCCGCCGCCGCCACCGCACTTGCTGGCCCCTGGGCGCCCGCCGCACCCTCCGTCGCATTCGCCCAGCGTCCTCAAGTCCTGTTGGCTACGCCGGGGACGCCCGGCCTCGTGGGAGGCTGCCGGCGGGTGGCGGCTGGGGCGGGGAGCCGGGGGAGGAGGCTGCTGGAGGCAGGGAGGCTGGACCAGCCCTGTCTGCCGGAGGACCAAAATAAACCTTGTCCACCTCCACTCTGCTGGGTGCCGTCTGTTTGTCACACCCCTTCCCCCAGGGCCGGAAGCTGCTAGGGGATGGGGTCACAGCCAGAAGCCCTGTGAGGAGCAGGGTCTGTGTGGGGCTCCAGCCCCGTGGACACCCCTGCGCGATGAAAATGGGTGGAAACGACTTACAGCAGCTCCCGAGACTGGGGGCGGCTCCCAGGCTGTGTCCATGCGGGTCTGGCAGGAGGTCAGGTCCTCTGCCCCTCCCTCCAACTCCATCGGCAGCTTCTAAGCCCAGCTTCCTCCGCCACCCTTCACCAAGCCCCTTCTCCCTTCCGAATCCTGTCTCGGGTTATTTCATACTAGCAGCTAATACAGCAAATATTTATTAGGCACTTACTATGTATCTTATGTGGAGCTACATTCTTCAATCTAATTATCAAAACAGCTCTGCAAAGTCGCTATAATTTGTTGCATTTCACAGATGAAGAAATCAAGAATCAGAGGGGTTTAGCGATTTCCCCAAGGCAGCGATTTTCAACCTTTGTTCATCTCGTAGCACACATAAACTGATTACTAAAATTTTGCAGCACAACAAAAAGTATGTATATTTTGCTGTTCTGGCAAAAAAAAAAATAGGTATATTTTGATTTATTCACACAAGATGGCTATTGTGTTGGCTGTTGTGAGGTTTGTTTGTTTGTTTACAATCTAAAGGAAAAGAAGTCAGTGTCCCCAACTAAATAGTCAGGTATTGCATGTTTTAAAAATTCTTGTGGCGCACCAGGTGAAAATCGCTGGCCTAAAATCACACAGTGTTTGGAGAGGCTGGATTCAAACCCATGGCAGTCTAACCTCTCATTGGAATCTCCTCCTCTACCTCCGAGGCCGCTGTGCTCAGTTTCCATGGTTTCCAAGGTTGGTGTTTTTTGTTGTTCGTCTTCCTGATTCTTTCCCCAAACCCGCAGCTCCCCCAGTCCCCATCGGATGCTGGGGAAGCCTCAGAGGTCCCCGGTCCCTTCCTCTGAACAGGAGAGCTCTGTTCAGCTACTCGGGCCAGCAGGCCCACTGGCTGACCCGGACCCCTTGTGTTGTGCCTCTGGCATTTGGCACTCCTGGCTCAGCAGAGACACTGAGCCACGCTCGGGTCCCAGCTGGCCTCCCAGCAGCCTTGGCTGCTCTGTGGACTTTTCTTTTCCTCTTCCTGCACACAACTGGGGTAGTTTGTGGCTGTGGAACCTCCTAATTAACCAATAAATCAGTTTAAGTGGTTGCAGAGCTGACCGCTTCCTTCCCCCCTTCACCACATGCCAGTAACACTCATCAGGGGCCTGAGACCTGCCGGCCTCCATGTCTCCCCAGCACACATCCCGGCTGCTGGGCACCCTGGGAGGGCCCCTCCCTGACGGAGGCAGCTGCTGAGCCCTGGTCACTGCCTGCCACCTGCCACAGACCCTGGGGTCAGAGTGGGAGTCACCCTTCACGGCAGGAGGCTGAGACCCAGCTGTGGGAACAACTGCTTCCAGGGCCCAGTACAAGGGCCTGACGCCTGGTCCAGTGATCTTTCTCCCACGTCTCTGCCAAGGTTTTCATGGCTGACTCGGGCCACAGCAGTGGCCCTGTTTCCTGGGGTGGGGAGGGGGCGCGCGGGGGTGACACTGACTGCTCCCGCAGCACCCGACATGGCCTCTGTCTCTCTGAGGCCTCACTCGCACCTCTGCTGGCTCACTCACGCCTCATGCTGACTCTGGCAGGCAAAGCGCATTACTTCCATTCTCAGAAGCAGAAGCTGAGGCTCAAGGAGGTGAGGTAGCTTGACCAGAGCCAAGTGACCGATTCGTGGCAGAGCTGGTACCCTAGCTGGGCCCCAGGAATGGCTCTCGGGGCAGCCCAGGCAGCATCAGGAAAACATCCAAGCACACCTGACAAAGTTTGCGGCACGACCATGGTGAGCACCTGCAAAGTGAAAGAAGGGAACAGAATCTCCCAGCTGGGCTGCTGCTCCTCCACAGTCACCTCTGTAGGCACAGACAGGGGGCCGCCTGGGAACAGCCTCTGTCCAGGACAGGCAGAGTCTGAACCTGCACAAAACTGCAGGTCCCAGGGGGTGGCGGCGGTGCGGGCAAACAGTTGTACAGCCCCGGGCTCTGGCTGCTTCTGAAAGTAGGTCTCATTGGCCCATCAGAGCCAAGTAAAGGAGCCAGAGGCCCTGATCAATGGAGGGCAGTACAGCCTGGCCCAGAGGCACCAAGGACGGAAAGACATTGCCCATCTCGTCCTTCTTTCCTTTATCCCCTAAACATTTGAGGTCCCGCCCTAGTGAGGCTAACCAGGGAAAACAGAGATGGCTGAGTTTGACCTGGCCGCTCCCTGCCAGGGGCTCTCAGTCTAGCTGGAGGGCCAGATACCAAAAGAAGAACAGACAGCACCGTGTGATGGACCCTAACAGACCCTAACAGGACACACGCGGTTCCGAAGGGGCACAGAGAGGGGCACTCCTGCCTTCCCGGGCAACCCAAGCTGGAGCCCAGGAGAAGGTAACAATTTGTAAGCATTTTCCTGGAAAAAGTAGGAAGAGCCTGCAAGGTAGAGCAACAGCCTGTGCCAAGGCAGGGCACAGGGAGGAGCAGTAAGTGGCTCATGCCACTGAAGCAGGTAGGCTCCAGGGAGGCCGGGAGAGTGGGTACGGTGAGGTCACCAGGGCCTCCCAGGCCAGCTGGAGAGCAAGAGCTAGCTCCTTCAGGCAGGTGGTGATACCACTGAAGATTTTCAGGAGGGGAGGGGCCCCATCAGAAGTGTGATCAGAAAGCCCCCAGGGCTGCCCTGGGCGGGACTGGCAGGCTGGCAGCGAGCTGCTGCCAAGGGCCTGGCCCGAGGCTGGGAAATGATTTTTCCTATGGATTTGGCAGGAAGATTGATGGCCTGCTGCTGGGCTTGGGCTTGGCCCCAGAGAAGCCTGGGTCTGCTTCTGGGGGCTAATGAAATGCTTGGAAGAGCAGATGGTCTTAATACAGCAGGTCCTTGAATAACGTCATTTCGTTCAATGTTGTTTCACTATAAAGTTGATGGGATGCCGTTGGAAACTTAATTCTAGTTTATATCAGCCTATAACAAAATTGATTTCATTGTATGTCATTTCACTTCAGGTCACAGAGCCTACCAGTGATGTTAAGTGAGAACTTACTGTACTTTGGTTAGGAGAGAGCTGTGAGTCTTCTAGGGCCGAGGCAGGCAAGCGGGGGGGGGGGGGCGGGCGGGAGCCAGAGTAAACGCTGAATGAGCCCTGGCTGCTGCCTCCAGGGCCCAGGAGAAGCCACCTGACAGGAGCCCCCTGCAAGGTCTTAGGCCGAGCCTGGGGCAGCCTGGGAGGGGCCCTGGGAAGGAACCCCTATTATTCCGAGGGAGGTTTAAATTCTGCACCCCTTTCGTCCCATTTGTTCATGCAAACCTCTTGGGGATGGGCCCGCAGCACTCACATCTGAGCACGTAGTAGGTACAAGGTTCTCCTGCCTGCAGAAAAGACAGAGGCCCAGGGGATTGTGGGAACCCAGAGGAGGGCCCTGAGCCAGGCGGAGGGGCAGAGAAGACTTCCTGAGGAGCTGGTGCCCAGCCAAGCCCGGGAGTGGGAGTTAACCAGGGCAGCGAGGGGAGACGGAACAACATGTGCGCTGCCGCCAAGGTCAGGCGCAGCGTGGGGCACCGAGGGCCTGTAAATTCTTCTCTGAAACCCAGACTGTACTTTGTACAGAGGACAATGGTGAGTCACTGAAAGGTTTTAAATTCAGGAACAATCTGATGAGATTTACTCTTTAGGGAACCCTTCCTGGCTGCGAGGCAGGCTTTCCTGGGCGGGGGAGGGTGGGGAGGGCGGGGAGGACAGTGCTGTGGGAACCCAGCGAAGAAGCTGTCAAAGACACTGGCAGTGGGTGGGCAGCTGTGGGAGACAGATGGGACCCACTTGGGAAGTTGTTGGGATTTGGTGATTGAACTCGTTGTGGGAGGAGACAGGTGTCCCAGGTGACACCCAGACTTCCACCTTGGGCTGATGGGGGTGATACCAGGATGATGAAGGTCAGGTTGAGACTGAGGGGCCTGTGGGACTCGGTGAGGGGCGTCCGCAGGGCCCCAGTGCCCCAGTGCCCGCGACACCTACTACCTTTTAGGTCTTGTGCTTGGCCCAGAATGTGTGTCTCATCTGCTTTAGAGTTGGAAGCTGAAAACCCTGAGGCTCAGGGAGATTAAGTAACTTGCCCTAGATCAGAGAGCTGGCCCAAAATGGAGCCGCGCTCTTTAGTTCAGGTTTGTCTGACTTTGGTGCCACCGTGTTTAGGCAAGCGAGGAGGCAGGAAGGAGTTGGTTAAGGCTGAGGGAGGAACTGGGAAGTGCAAAGAAGGGGCTTCCTCCGCCCCTGTATAGCAACTGTAGTCAGGGCTACGGCTCAGTCCTGGGGAGGGGGAGCGAGGTGTGGACCCTGGCACGGCGGCCGTGTTAATCAGCCGCCCTGCCTGCCTAAGGCTGGCAGGCACAGCGTCATCTGTCAACTCCGAATGTGTACCTGGGGACATCAATACCAATTAAGTACCCAAGGTTTCCTTTTAATGAACATCAGTTCCTCACTCTGATGCAAGGCTCATTTGCAAGCTGCCCATTGGATGCAAGGTGGCCTGAGGCCAGCGGGCCAGGCTGTGCTGGCTGGAGTTGTTTCTGGTGCAGGGACAAGACTGATTTATTGCGGCATCTGCCTGGTGCCACGTTGTTTCGGCAGCCCCGGCTCAGTGGGCGGCTGAGGGGGGAGCAGGAGGGGCTGAGGGGCCCAGCCTGGAGTGCCTAGGGGGCTCTGGATGGAGGTGGTGCTGGGGAGGGAGCTGGCCTGGGCACTGGGCCAGGTCAACTCAGAGCTGGCATAGTGCAGGGGTCAAGGAGAATTCGAGCCACACTGTCAGATTGGATTCTGGCTCCTGCACTTCCCAGTTCTGACCTCTCTGGGCGTTGGTGACCTGCAGAACAGAGCTCTCTGTCTGCGCCAGGTCCCTTTGGAGGCAGACCACCTCACGTTGTTTGCCGGCTGGTGCCAGCCACGTGTGATGTTCCCAGGGCTCCCCCGAGCAGATCCTGAGCTCCAGCGAAGGAAGAGTGACTCATCCATCTCTGCCCCCCTAGATGTGCTGAATGGCAAGTGCTTCTTTAGTACGTGGCATCCTCCTGGGCTTCCAAACAGGAGAGTTACCAGGCTGGCATGGGCCAGTCATAGAACACTCTGGCCCTTGGTCTTTTGCTTCCCTGAGCCCGTTTCCTCATCTGTAAACCTCACTGGCCGTGTGTCCCTGCAGGCTCTGCGGCTTGGTGTCAGCTGGTGAGCCAGCCTCAGGGGGTATGGGCTGTAATGCCCTCTGGGCCCCATAGCTGGTGGGGGGCAGGGTCTTCCAGCTTCCTGACCTCCTCACCCTGGTTTGGGCTCAGCACCTGAAGCAGCCGGGAGAGGGTAGGGATGGGGCCTTTTCCCCAGAGTCATGGTGCTTGCTCTGGGTGAGGACACACCCGACCTCCGGATGGAGGTGACAGCCTGCCTCGCCTGGTACCTGCCCCCTTCAGACCTCAGGACTTGGGTAGCCTGGTCCCACCTCCCTCCCTGGCCAGTCAGTCACCCGCCAGGTCCCACAGCCAGCTCTCAACCACCTCAGGAGGCCCCCGAACAGTGGAGGCAGCCAGTGAAGATCAGCAAGGACCCCTCCAGACTCAGCTCAGGCCCGTCACCTCGTGCTCTCCTCTCTCTTCCCCCGGGTGACCAGGTACATGCCTTGTCCACCAAGCACACTGTATCCTGTGCTAAGTGAGGAAAGGGCCAGACCCTCCCATACCTGAGGTGGCCACGGAGACAGAGACTCACTCAGGAAGGCCTGTGGATTCCCACCCACTGGGTCCCGGAGCACTGGAGACGTTGGCACTTCAGAAACCCTGGCAGAGGTTACGCTAGACCCGGGCTGGGCCCCACACACCAGCCGCCTGACCTCAAACGAGTTACTTTGTTTCACTGACCCTCAATTTTCTGCACCTATAAAATAGTGGGAGCAATAAAGTCAGCTGCCTCACATTTTACAGCAAACACTGAATCAAAGGGCCTGTACGAAGGGCCAGCCAGCACACAAGAGGAGCTTGACAAATGTCTCCAGCCTCTGTTTTAGGGCGCTGCTCTGGAGGCTTTCACGTCAGGCCTGGTGGAAACAGCAGGAGCTCGGGGGTGGATCCGGGTTCCAGACCAGCTGCCTGGTCAGGTGGTGCTGGCAGACCCATGTTTCCTCACCTACCGAGGTTGTGAGGACCTGTGAACATTCTTCTCTAAGCATTTCCCATGTTCACCGTGGGCCATGCCAGGCAGACAGTCTGTCCTTCCGTCCACTGCCGTGTTCCCACCCAGGACAGTGAGGACTGCAGGGCAAGGGCTCAGTATTTCTAACAGGAACAGAGGGAGGTGGAAAGCAGAGGACCCTCCCAGAAGGCACAATCAGCAAAGATGGATTTCTTCCTCCTGTCCCCTCACCCCCCTCCCTGCTTCCCCCACAAACTCCCAGAGCAGCTGGTAAGAGAGCTAACTCCTGTGGGCAACGTCTGTGGGGTTCCCCCTCCGCCCCCTGTCCAGCCGTCCCGGCCGCTCAGGGCCGACTTGTGTGCTTTCTGACTCACTCCAGTGCCTGGGGCTGACGTGGACTGGCTGGCGCGTCACAGAGCTGGGCTTGCAGGATAGGTCCTGGTTGGAAATGGGGCAAGGCAGGTTGTCTGGCTGCCTCACTGTCTGGCAAGTGTTTCATGACTGGCCTCTAAGCCACCTTCATCTGTCAAGCCCCTTGTTTGCGGCCTGCATGGCCAGGGAGGAAATTGGCAGTGACCCCTTTACTTGCCCCAGTGGCCTGTTCTCACGATTCCTTGGCTACAGGGCCAAAAGTGGGTGGGCGGGGCACCACCAGAAGGGAGGATGCTGATTTCCCATGCGGATGGGTTGGTCCTGGCCAAGGACTTGCTGGGAGTCAGCCAGGGAGTCTCCACGTCAGGCTGCCCTGGAAACACACAGTCCTCTCTGGGCTGCTCCACAAAGGCTTGGCTCTGACGGGGCGAAGCAGCCTGCCCCAGGGGAAAACAGGGCCCGGCGGGGCCAGGCACTTCCCCAGAATGTCCTTGGCAGGTCCCTCACCTACCTGCTCCCAAAGGCCTATGGCAAGAGTCCCTAACCTCTTCCTGGTACGGATCCTGTCGAGAATGCAAGCTACAGGCCTTCATATCAGAAATGCACACGCATCTTCTCCACACAAATTCCTGTATCCTGTCGGGAGTTCACAGTCAAGGGCCTGTTCCTTGAAGCAACTAGACCTGAGGTGGAGGCACTTGGCCTCGACTCTTTCCAGGGTGATCGGCCCTGGGGGTGAGGCGGGGGAGGCCCAGAGAAGTAGGTCCCAAGAGAAGCTGCCCACCTGTTTGACGTCCACTCCTTCCAGCTCCTGCCTCTGCACTGCCCAGGGCTCTTCCCCGCCCAGCCCCGCCACTGGTGCTGTGGCCAAGGGGAACTGTGTCCACGCACAGGCCCTGGCAGTCCCTGTAGGAGGGGGAGCTCCACCGAGGCCCTGGACCCTTGAGTGGGCAAGGCCCACTTCGAGGGAGTTCACAAAAGCTGCCCCCCCACCCTCCGCTGGCTCCTCACCCCTCTCGCACGGCTGGCAGGCAGCCTCCCCACTCGGAGCAGCAGCGGCTGGAGTTCCGCGGAAACAGCGCTTGGCTCCTCCTCTGCCCCTCGCCCTCCCACTCTCGGCCGCCACACTTTCCCTCCTCAACCCTGCCCACCTGGTGGAGCTCTGGGCCTCCCCTCTCACAGGGTCCCGGGGGCATCCGGCAGGTACCCCCCACCCACAGAGACACCCTCCGTCTTCAGGGTCTAGGGAGCGGCCGGGCTGCGTGAGTTTAATTCAGATCTGACCAATCTGGGATTCGGGGAATAAGCTCCCCGCTCCAAAAAGCAGGACTCGAACGCAGTGGGAGAGGAAGAGGGGCGAGCCCCAGGGGACACGACTGCCCTGTGGTCGAACACCTCCTTGGAGGGCGCTGGGCCAGGCAGCACCTTCCCTCCGGTCCCTGCCCCCAGTGGCCTGTCATATGTCCCTGGCCCACAACCACGAGATGTGCCCGCGCCTGCGGGGCCGGGCATGGGTGCTTCATTTCCAGGGAGCTGTGAGCCTTTTCCAGTGTATTAGTTTCCTGTTGCTGCTGCAACCAGTGACCACAGACTTAGTGGCTTAAAACAACAGTTTATTCTTACAGTTCGGATGGTCAGGATTCTACAATCAGCCTGACTGTGCTAACCTCGGTGTCGGCAGGGCTGGCTCCGCCTGGACGTTCTGAGGGAGAACGGTGTCTAGCTCCGGGGGCCGTCTGCATTCCACGGGTCGCGACCCCTTCCTCACATTAACTCCAGCTTCTTGCTCCTGTCACTGCACCTCCTGCCTCCTCTCTGATCTGCTTCCCTCTCATAAAGGTCTCTGTTACATCAGACCCATCGGGATAATCCAGGATCATTGCCTTGTCTAAAGATCTTTATCTTATGACATGTGCAAAGTCCCTTTTGCCAAACGAGGTCACATTCACAGAGTCCTGGGATTAGAACATGGCCGTCCTGGGGCCCACCGTTCACCCCACTACCACTAGGCTGCAGAACTGCTATGCCCTCCTGGTGCTTCAATGATTGGGAGGAAAGAGTTGGCGTGTTCTGCTTAGGATTCTGCAGGGTCCTTCCTAACCTGGTATTTCTAAGGTCTAGTCCTTACCAGCCCACCCCTTCCAACCAGGGAGATTCACTGCGATGCCTCCTTGGAAGTCAGGTGCCAAGTCTAAATCTAAGTGCTGGTGAGAGGTACAGGGCCATCCGGGTAACCCCCAGGCCCGGGGACGCCTGCCCTAAGCCCACCCCCAGCTGGCTGCGACCAGCCCATGACCGGGAAGGGACCCAGAGAAGGGCCCTGGGCCTGCTGAGGGTACCAGGGAGACTGCGGGACGAGCGAGCCCTGGGAGGACAGCGCACGTTGCCAGGGACAAGGCGTGGCTGCCCTGCCGTAGGAGTCAGAGGGAGTGGCTGGGGGCTGCAGTCCCAGCCCATGGAGACCAGAGAGGCCGTAACTGGGAGAGGCTCTGAGGTGGGTGAGAGAGAGTCTCTGGCCCACAGCATCTGGGGGCGAGGCCGAGGGCCTCCCAGACAAGCGCAGCTCCGAAGTCCCTGGCATCGGGCTTTCTTTGTGATGAGAGAGCAGTTGGGCAGGGTGGGCAGGGGCAGGCCGTGAAGGCAGGGAGCCCCTGTTGCTACCTCTTCTCCATGTCCTGCATCTGCAAGCTCAGGGAGGTGAAACTGGCCAGGAGGTCGGTCACCTCATCCACCTGCGGGACCAAAGTGAGGCTCTGTCATGGGGTGTCAGGATGGGCCTAGGCGTTGAGTCCCCCGGGACCCCTTCCCAACAGTGCTGGGCCGGCATTGTCTCTCCTCTCAAGGCTCGTGCTGGCTGCACTGTGACTACGGAACAGCTGTCTCAGGGCTAATCCTCAACAGCCGGGGGTCTCAGGCCACCCCAGAGAGAAGGGCCACTGGCAGCTTCCCAGGAAGTGAGCGGAGACTCTGAGGTCCACAGCAGGCTGCAAGACCCACGTCCACGGCCTCTTTCTACAAGGAGGGTCTGGACCTGTGGCCGCGGCTCACCTGCTCCCTGGTGCTTGTCATCTGGAGTCGGGTGCACAGGTCATCCAGCCGGTCCCGCTGCTCGTGCCGCCCCAGGCGCTCCAGGTACTCCCTCAGCATCTGGATGATCTGGAAGGAGAGGGCGGGCTGGGCTCGGGGTCCCCACTAGGAGGCGCAGAGAGGCCTGATGCTGCCGCCAAGGGCAGGTGCCAGCCGAAGTCAGTGTGAAGTGATCTGGTGGCGCTGGTGGTGGGTGACAGCGGTGAGGGCAGCACCTGCCCGGTGCCTGCCCGGTGCCGCGGGCTCAGCGTGAGCAGGGCTCTCACCTGCTTCACCTCCAGCCGCACAGCCTCCAGGCACTGGGAGTGGCCTTCCTGCAGGATGTTCAGCTTCGACTTGGCCAGGTGCAGGGGCGTGCGGCCAGCTCGGTCCAGGGCATCCACGCGGGCCCCTGTGGGAGCAGGCAGGGGTGAGTGTGCTGGGGGTGCGGGCGACAGAGGAGGGGGGAGGGGAGGCCACCACATACCTCCTCGCAGCAGCGTGGTGATGACAGGGACGTGGTTGGTGCAGGCCGCTGAGGAAGAACAGGGACTTGAGAGTGCAGGGCCACCGGGGCTTGGCCCTGGGTGCCCACTGGAGCGACCCCTGAGTGTGCCTGTGTCAGGCCACGCCTCGTGAGAAGGCATCACCAAGGCGGCAGCTTGGTGGGACTCGGCAGTCAAGTCCGGCTACCTCCCTGTACCACTGGGGAGAATCTGAGGATTGGAGGTGGCACCTGCCTCACTGCGGGCCACGGCCTGAGTCCGCCACAGCGCAGGAACCAGCTGCAGGTCTCACCTCCCCGAGCAGAGCTGCCGCTGGTCAATTTACGTTGCTAAGTCAGTTCTGCTCAGGGCACGGCCAACCAGTGATGGACAGGGAAGTCCATGGCATGCAGACCGGAGGCCAAGGCTCTCCCCAGATGACAGGAGATCCTGCTGGGAGCCTGCAGGACCCCAGGCTCATCATCAAAGGAGCCTATCTGTGCTGCAGAGAAAGGTGCCTTGGCAGCTTTTCAGGCACTTACCCAGGTGCAGCGGCGTGTTCCCCAGCCCATCTCGCTGGTTAGGATCGGCTCCGTGGTCCAGGAGCAGCTGCACTGGAAATGGAAAACCCCAGAGGAACTGTCAGAGGCTTCTCCAGACTGGACCCTCGGCCCCACCCCTAACCTAGCTAAAGAGGCTCAATCCAAGGGTGGCACAGACACCCGACAAGGGCCTTGTGTGGCTTCACTCACTCACAGGGTTCACGTTCAGGACTCAGAGGGCCAGGAACCAGAGGTTCCCGGAGGGCCTCCTGGCCTATGCAGGTGTTATGGCGCTGAGATTTTAAGGGTCAGAGAAAGTTCTGCCAACAGCAGTGGCTGCCAGTGAAAGTCCTCAGGAGCATGTTGGCTCCTTTCACAGCCAAGCACCATAGTGGGAATTAGACGAGATGGTGCTCTAGGCCCCCCAAGACAGGGCTCTGACATCGCCAGAGCTTCTCAATTACCGAGACGAATGTGCAGGCAGACTGACTCCTAGTGAGGGCCGGGCTGCGTGCCACGCTGTGTACAGGAACTAATTCAAGAGGGGCCACAGGCCTGAAAGCGAGAGCTCAGTCAGGCCTGTAGAGAAAAACAGGGCACTATCTTCATGATCCTGGGATAGGCAAAGATTTCTCAAATAGGCCACAAAAATACTAACCATAACAAAGAAAAGATTGATAAAGTCACTAAAATGTCAAAGAACTTATATTCATCAAAAAACACCATTCAGAGAGTAAAAAGGGAAGCTCAGGAAAGGTAAGTCATTTATATTTGCTAAATTGTTTGTAACCAGAATATACAAAGCATTTGTACAAATCAATAAAAGATAGGCACTCGTTTAAAAAATGGACAAAGGACTTAAACAGATATCCCACAGAAGAGGATATAAAATGGCCAAAAAATCCACAAAGCTCTGCTCAACATTATTGGCTGTCAGAGAAATGCAAACCAAACCACAGAGAGACACCACCATACCAAAATGGATAAAATTGAAGAGGCAGTACCAAGTACTGGCAAGGGTGTGGAAATATCTGGAACTCTCTTACAGTGCTGAGTGGGAGTGTACATTGGTCCAACCACCTTGGAAGAAGTTCGGTGGTACCCACTAAAGCTAAATATATGTGCATCCAGTGACCCAACACTTCCATTCCTGGGTTTGTATCCAATGTAGACAAATGCCTATATCCACCAAGCTACATGTATAAGACTGTATAGCAACTTTATTCCCCATGGCCAAAACCCGGAAACAACACAAACATCTGTTAATAGCAGAATGGATGAATTGCCATACATCACACAATGAAATACTACTCAGCAATGAGAAAGAACACACACACAGCCTTCAGAAATGAATCTCAAGGGTACAATTCCGAGTGAAAGAAGTCAAGATACAAAAGAGTGCACATCTACGGGTACGCTTCCATTTATGTGAAATTCAAACACAGGCAAACTGATCTAATCCTGACCAAGGTCCATAGCAGAGGACGGGCCGGGGGGGGGGCTGTGGGGTCCTGAAAATATCCAAGGTCTTGATCTGGGTGGTGGTTACAACAGTCTGTGCGTCCACAAACTTCATTGTTAGTAAGTTATACCACACCCAAAAAAGACTCCTAAACAAAGGGCTGTGCAGCTGCAGCCTCGGCCCCGAGTAAACGTGGCCTGAACATCCCCGAGGACCGGCGCAGCCTCGAGGCAGTCGTACTCTTCCCCAGGTTTGGCCACTCGCGAGAGGAGCGAGAGGAGCGGGCACCGCCTGCGCTATGCCTGCGCTGCAGCTCTTGCCCCCCACCCCCCCCGGCAGGACTCACCAATCTGGTCATTGCCATTGCAGGAGGCGAAGTGCAGAGCCGTGCGGCCCTTGTCATCCGCTGCACAGGGGTCCGCGCCATCTTCCAGCAGCTGCTGCACTGACGCCACCAAGACAGAGGGAAGCAGGGGGAAAGAGTGACAGTGTTAGCTGAGCCAGTGCCCAGGGGTCGGCGAGGGAGGCTCGGCAGCCCTTCCAGGCAAGGCACTGCTCATGATGGGAGAGCTGGTCCCTCCTGGACACTTGCCCCATGGGGGCTGCCGTGACAAGAGCTTGTTTTCCTGAGGGCACAGCTACAGCCACGGATTCTGGGTGCTCAAGCTACTTGTCTAGTGACAGAACACTGTAGAAGGATCCAGGCCCTGAGTCAGGAACTCTAGAGTCACAGAAATCCCCAGCACAGGCTCTGACCCTAGGCCACTGCCTGAATGTGGGCACACACCCACTCCAGCTGCACACAGCTGCCCAAGCTGTTGGTTGGCGCCTGCTTTGCTCCCAAGAGGCAGCCCTTCAGAGCGACAGAGCACAGGTTCTGGAGCCGCACAGACGAAATCCCAGGCTACACTAAGCTCGAAAGAAAGGAGTACGTTGCTAATAGCATGGGGCAGTGGAAGGAGCTGGGCCGGGCGTGAGAAGGCCCAGATTTGAGCCTCAATTCACCAGCAAATGGCTGTAATCTCTGCCCTGCCAACCAGAGCTGCTGTGATGAGAATAATGGATGTGAATTTCCTTCTCTGAAAAGTACAGAACCATTATAAAATGTGAGGCATTAGGTACTACATATACATGTCCAACTAAAATGCAGAAATTGCTGCTGAGCATCATTTTAGGGCAAGCAACATTTTTGTCTGCCTCAGCAAACGTCTCAAGGACTTGAGTCCTTCCAGACTAAGCCCAGATATCTCCTCCTCCATGAACCTCTCCTGTCTCCTCAAGCTGAGTGAGCGCCTCCCTCTCCTGCATCCGAGTGCCCCGTGCATCCTGTAGCTCTAACACTAACGTGCTATGCTATCGTAGAGTCATTGCTACTGTACACGGAGCCCCAGCCAGGTGCCAGGTAGCCGACTGCCAGGCCCCTCAGCCACCCAGCAATGTATCGTGTCCATTTCACAGACCGGGTGACTCCAGCCGGGAGAACTCACCTGACAGGCCCAAGCCAAGGTCACGCAGCTGCCAGGAGGCCACGCTGGGATATAAACCCACACTTGGCTGGCTCCAGAACTGGCATTTTTCCAACTAAACACATAACTTCAGGTTTTTGGGGAGTTTTATCTTAGAAATAGTACTGCTTTAATTTTCTTCTCCTCCAACTATATTATAGGGCTTTGTTCTGTTTATTTCAATACCTTAGACCAAGATATTACTTGTCTTGCTCAGTGAAGGTTGCTGGCTGACTGAATAACTAAATGAAGGGAAAGGTTTATGAGAGTGGAGGAGAAAGAAGTCAGGACAGCTCAGTGTTTGTCACCAAGAGAGAGCCAGTATCAAAGAGACACAGAAAGCTCAAGCAGCCAGTTCTAGTTTGTGATTTGTGCAGTGAGTCTTTGGAAAGCATTTTAGCAACATCTGTCAGAAGCCATCAAAACATGCACGCTGTTTGGTGCCATAATCCCATTCTTAGGACATTATCTTAAGAATGAAATACCAATGTGCAAATACATAACGGACTAAAACGCTCTTTCTTGGTCACTTTAAAGGCATTCTGTGCATCCATTAAATACTGTGATTATATTTGGGGAATGAAATTATAAAGCGTTTTTTGCTTTTTACCTTATAAGCTTTAGAAAAATCATATAGTCATGTATTCACTCTATAAATAGGAAAAAAGACACTTTTATTTTAAAAAAGTTACATTGACTACAAAAAATGTTTATGATTCACAAAAAATTATGTGGGCTACAAAACGGTGCGCAATGTGCAAGCCCATAAAGAAAATCCCTCTGCACAGCACCCTGGCCAGGTGGCTCCGTTGGTTAGAGCATCATCCAGATGTGCCAAGGCTGTGGGTTTGATCTCTGGTCAGGGCACATGCAATCATCAGCCAATGAATGCACAACTGAGTGGAACAAAAAAAAAAATCGACCTTTTCTCTCTCTCTCTCAAATCAATAAATAAAATTTTTAAAAAAAAGAAAGAAAATTCCTCTGCATAGGAAGAATGAAAGGATATTCACTAAAACATTAACAGAGATTAGTTTTTTTGCTGACATTATGGATGTTTTGCTTGTCTATTTCTTGTAAATTTCCAAAGCATTTTAAATGCATGTATTATTTCCATATTTAAAATATTTTAAATGATTATGAATTCACAGAAAAGCACTTATGATTTAACAATAGCAAGGGGTAAATTTTGTGTCCACTGTAATTGTTAAACTATACCCAAAAAACCAATAAATATGCACAAAACGAAACAAAATGCTAAGCATAAAAGAAAAGGAGTGAAGAGGCTAATGCTACAGCCAGTTTCATCGTCAGAGTCCTGCGAGAGCCTGGTAAATCTAACAGCCATTCAGATTTAAAGATGGGTATGTTAGAGGTTCTGAACGGAAAATTACAGCCTTTCTATCAAAATAATAAAATCACCTCGTGAAACCTGATTCAGGATGAATGAGACTTTCTGCGGAAGGGAAGAATCGTTAAAATATTCTCTGGTCACATACTAGAGACATTAAAAAGAGAACGTTTATTATTTTTCCTCAGAAAGCTATCTAGGTTGCTACCCAAATATTCCAAAATATTAAAGTTCACGGAGAAGAGACCAAAGCGAAGAGAGTTGAAAAGCACCACTTCGAGGCCCACAGTGCAACCCCTCGTCTCCCGAGGCGAGCAACCTCCTGCCACACCGGCTGTGCGTGGGGTCTCCTACCCCGTGGCCCTCAATCTATGCTCACATTTTATCTGCTGACCACAGCATCCCGCCACCAACACAGCATGATGTCCACGTGAGGTCGGCAGACTAAAGGTGCCCAGAGATGCCGGACCCTAATCCCCGGAATTTAGGGATATGTTACCTTACATACCCAAAGGGGACTTTGCAGATGCGATTAAGATTAGGGACCTCGAGCTAGGAACATTATCCTGGATTATTCAGGCCCAATTTCATCACATGAGCCCTTGATATCAGGGAACCTTTCCCCGCTGAGAGATCCAGAGAGGCAGCAGTGCGAGAATCAGTCCACCATTGCTGAATTAGAAGGTGGAGAAGGGTGGCCTCGAGCGGCTGGTAAAGGCAGGGAACAGAGTCTCACCTAGACCCTCTGGAAAGAAATACAGGCCTGCAGACACCTCGATTTCAGCCTGGTGAGTGCTGTGCTGAGCTTCTGACCTATGAACTGTATCATAACACGTGTATGTGGTTTTATACCACTATGTTTGTGGTAGTTTGTTACAGCAGCTGTAGAAATGAATATACAACTTTTCCCTGATTCACAGAAAGAATTAAGTCAGTGGATAAAATTAAAACTCTTTTCCTCTACCTTGTTCTTCTACCTTTGATACTGCTACTGCCCTATCAGCTAGTCAACGCTGGAGAAAAATGACCAAAAAAAAAAAAAAAAAAAAAAAAATCCAGAAAACAAACAGTGGCGTCTTGCAAGGAGCCCCTCCCGTGCCTTCCAGATGTACTTCCAAAAAACAACTTTGAGAACGAGTGACCCAGCTACCACAAAGCCTCAGTGAGCAGTTGAAGGTGGTTGCTCTGTGCCAATGGTGGTTCTGCTGACAACCAAAATTGACCGTTCATTCCCATTAACCAGAAGTTCCCAAAAGTTCCTAATCTGACAGGTGTCAGTAAAATAAAGGCAGACATGGTCTCCGCCATCAGGGAGTCCACAGGATGATAAACACGAAGACATTGGAAAGTTTGTGGTGACAGAGAAGCATGGGAAGTGAGCATCTAAGCCAGATATAACTAGACATAACTTCTGCAAGACGACTGCCGTTACACACTAACTACAGTAGGCACGGTCCCCGGGGTGAGCTGTCAGGCTGAACGAATTCAAGCACTGGCCTCCCAGGTTTCGGTTACCTGGATTTTTCCTTCTCTGACCAATGCATGGAGCTGGATCCACTCTGCACACTCACCTGTTTCCACGTCATTGGCATTGGCCGAGTCCCTCAGCCTCTTCAGAGCTGTGAAGAGAGTAAGAGAGTGGCTGTTTAAAAAACTACAGTAACGGCAGCAGCCATGATGAAGCAGAAAGTGCACGGCTTCCTGCTTAACCCACCATTCAGCCACCGTGGCTTCTAAAAGGAAAGAAAGGTACCAGGATGCAAGAGACACTGGCCCGGGAACAAGCAGAACCTTGACATGCGGCACAACTAGTGCAAAAGCCACATTCTGCAGCAGATCCTCCAAGGCCTTTGGAGCCAGATCTTGAACCTGCCACGTGCAGTAGCTGGGGAACTGGAGCAGGCTGGCTGACCCTCCTGGGCCTCAGGTCTATCACCCGCAAAACAAGGTGGAGCTCTATCCCCACAACCCCGAGTTGTTGCAAAGACGAGATGAGGTGCTCGCGTGAAGTTCTCTGTGAACAGGTTACGCAGATCATCTTACATTCTCCTTCAAAACAGGCCACTCACAAATGACTTCAATTTGGTAATTCCTAAGCAGAAACACGGTTTCCTACAATGACACTACTTCTATATTAGAGGCTAATACAAAGCAATGCCTTTGTCATCAGAAAAATGGTCAAAATTTGCCACTCAGATACACAATGATTCCTTTCATTCATGGAGTACTTTACAAGATTATACGGCGCTCTCAAATTCTCATTTAATCTTTATAACACCACTAAGACATGGGTGGAGTCACACAGATAGTACTCGAAGGGACTCTAAAAGTCTCCCTTCTCATACCGTTCCTGGTGTTGCTCTCCACGTCATCCACATGTTGCAAAGACAATATGGTAGACAGAGCAGGAGTTTGAGTTTCGCAGACCTGGGTTCTAATACTAGCACAGCCAAGTCCTAGCTATGCGACTTGGAGCAAGGCATTTTCTCTGAGCCTGTTTCCTCTTCCATAAAATGGGATCAGTATCTGGATCTCAATGAGTTAGTATTGTGAGAATTAGAAATGATCACAACAGTGTTTGGCATGCAACAAAAGCTGGTTAATAACTACATATGCATTACGTTACTTAACTCTCACCAGATCTCTGTAAACCGGATATTATACTCATTTTACAGGTGAGAAAACTAAGGCTGAAGGGTTCTGTAGTTTGCCTAAGGCGGAAATGAGGTAGGAGTGCAATCCAGGTCTGCGCATGGAAACGAGTTGGTAGGACTTGGCTACAGGCTCTCGCCTGCCCTTTCGGAGAGTAAAAGTATTCCCCAGTACCCCATTTTATTACCTATTAACACCCGGACTCATGAAAAGTTTCTATTAAGGAACTGCCAAGTGTGAAAAGCCTAGGGCGACTGGCTCTGCGCGGGAAGACTTTTTTCTTTACATTCATGGTCCTGAGCAGTCATGCGTAGTAATTATTACTACGGACAGGAGACTCAGGGGTCACTCTGGGCCCTTAGATCGGACGTCGGAGGGCTCCAGACTGACAGGGCCGAGATCCCCGCCGGACGACCGGCCCCGCCTCCCGCGCGCTCCTCACCGTGCACCTCCTTGCCCAGGGGCCCGAACCGGCGATGGGGCCTGGCGGCGCGCCTCAGTCTGCAGGGGATCTTACAGAGCAGCTCATCGCGGGGCTCCGAGTCCTGCTGCCACAGGACGTGGAGGTAGCGCAGCGGGGACTGGGCCCCGCCCGATGCCCGACCCGGGAGGCCCGCGCAGCCGCCAAGCGCAGACCCGAAGTCGGCGAAGGAGAAGAGGCCCTCGGGGCCCGTCAAAGGCTCCGGCGCCACCGCGCACTCGCCATCTGAGCTTGAGTGGCCCGAGCGCGGCTCGTTGTCCGCGCCCCCGGCGGCGGCTGCCATGGCAACAGTTCCGCGCGGGCCTGGCCGCCGCAGCCTCGTTCCCGGCCGACCAACCGACCCACTTCCCTCCGCCCCAAGCCTCGCTGTCAGCGGGCGAGCGGGCGGGACGGCCTGCAACCACGGCAACCGAGCGGGCGCCGATCTCGGTCACGAGCTGGTGAGCTTCGAACCAATAAAAACCTTCCAGACCAAACCCTTCCCTCCAACCGGGTTAGTTCGGGGGCTGGAACTGGTTTCCGGCAGAGTGACTGGCAGACATAAAAACCAATCATATTTTTGAAATGCCCAACACCGGAGCCAATAAAACCGATGAACTTAAGGCACTTTTTTCCATTTCCTCCACCGGCTCGGTAGAAACGCGATGGGCAAACGTTTTATCCAATCACATTAAGATGATCTGCAGCCAATCGGAAAGGAAAGTTGAGAAGCCAAACTTGAGGGAGAAGTAAATATAGATATATTTTAAATCAATACCCATGGGAAAAAAAAACAAACAACAAAACTTCCCACAATTGCATAGTGTAAGTAGGAAAATGAGAATATGTTAAAAATCTATCACGACGAACCGAGAATAGCTTCTGAATGCAATAGATCCCTTTATTCGGTATTCTCTCGGTAATCCCGGGGTTGATCTCTGATTTACAAAGAATTTTCATTCGACGTAGCCAGTCCTGATAACTCTCGGTGTTAAGTTCTGGATGCGGGATCAGACTCCATTCCCGCTGAGATGCTCGCAATCCTACGGGAGAAGTCGGAGCTGGAAACACGGAAGTATTCCGCAAACAGGTAATGTTAAGCTTAGCAACAGTGCAAGCTGGGTGCACTGTTTTGTAAGGATTTTCATAACCTTGTACCTTGAAAGAGTGAAGATAAAGAATATGTAAAATGGAGTTGCTTTAACCAAGCTGCTAAAATTGACAGTATGATGGTTGGGACATAAGAAAAGACTCTACTCTTATTCTAACTAGCCTGGTAACTTATTGTTCTAATCTTCCAGGCCTGTGTTAATGTCTGGACATGCATGTGGACATACACCAGACGTCCAGATAACCAACCCTCTGATTACCCCTCCCCCAGGACTCATGTATCCTGGCCTCCTGACATCCGGCTGATAACTGTCCTGGACAAATCCCAGAGCTAAGAATGTGGGACTGATAATTCTCAAGAATGTACTTTTTACCATAAGAACTGTGTCTTTAATCTTCACCTGCAGATATGTTTATTGATTTTAGAGAGAGAGGAAGGGAGGGGGGAAAAAGAAAAAGACATCAGTATGGGAAAGAAACATCAATTGGCTGGTTGCCTGCCTTAGGCCCCCTGAACAGGGATGAAATCCACAGCTTTTTCCTGTGTGGGATGATGCTCCAACCAACTAGCCACCTGGCCAGGGCTACTGTAGGAACTTCTCTTTCTTCTATGGAACACTTCTGGGTTTTTACCTAGCTCTTTTCCCAGTTTGTATATGCTAAGACCCTTAAATGAGTCTTTATCATTTATTTCTAGCCAAAGCCTCCAGACTCTTTTCAAGTTTGTTTGACATACCCCACAAACACTTCCATAAGGTGGACAAGGAGGGCCATCCCTACTTTATAGATGAGGAGCCGAAACCAGAGAGATAAAGGACTTGTTCATGGATGCCAGCTTTCTTGGGACTAGGGCTTGTGTCCAGGCAAAAGTTCTTCTGTCTCATTCAACCCAGTTAAAATGTAATTTTTCTGACAGTTGAAAAGCAATTTCAGAATTTGCAGTGCCCTCAGAACACCATTGTGAGGGCTGCCACCATACTGAAAGATGAAAAATATTACTCGAACTTTTCTTCCCCATAACCAAAGGACATATGCCAGCTCCATTTATAACTAGAAGAAACAAAGGAAAGAAATAAACATTGAACATGAACATGAAAGAAATAAACATTGAACATGAATGTTTATCAAGCACTTGGTATGTGAATATTATACCATTTAGTTCTCCCTTACAAGGGCCTTAGAAAGTAGACATTATTACACCCATTTGCAAATCAGTAAGTTGAGGTCTTGAGATGTTGTACGGATTGTCCAAGGGAACAAGGCTAGAAAGTTGAAGAACTGGGATTTTCCATCACACTGCCTTTTAATTTTGAAAAAAATTTTAAAATTTATTGATTGATCCCTGGCTGGTGTGCCTCAGTGGACTGAGCGCTGGCCTGTGAACTGAAGGGTCCCCAGTTTGATTCCCAGTATAGGGCACAGGCCTGGGTTGCAGGCCAGGTCAGCAGGCACGTGAAATGCAACCACACATTGATATTTCTCTCCCTCTCTTAAAAAAAAAAAAAGAAAAACATTTATTAATTGATTTGAGAGAGAGAAGAAGGGGTAGAGAAAGAGGTGGAGAGAGAGGAACATTGCTTTCTTATTCTGCTTATTGATTCATTCATTGGTTGTTTCTTGTATGTCCCCTGACCAGGGATCAAACCCAGTACCTTGGCGTATTGCGACAATGCTCTAACCAAGTAGGCTACCCAACCAGGGCCACACTGCCTTTGTTAATGAAGAGCCTGCTGGAAACTTGCTTATACCAAAGAGTGTAAGTGACATCTGTGTATTTACACCTCATGTCTGCTACATTTACCCTGAAATAACTTCATTACTCATCCCTCCTTTTTTTCCATGTAATAAGCTCCAAAATAGTCTTCATCCCTCCAGCCTCTGCTTGTAGAGTAGAAGGCGCACTTGCTTCCTAAAGCACAATTCTCTTCATGTCTCCAGGATCCGCCTGCCCGCTGAGCTCAGGTAACAGCCAAACCCTTTATCGTAGCAGGCAAGACCATCGCCTCCCGCCCACCAGTGTGTCTGGTCTTCAGGAAACCTAGTCTACCAATATGTTTGCATTGTCACAAATCTTGTAATTTGAACAGGACCCCTAAACATTTAGAGGTAGTTGCTACTTCTAATTTTTAAATCAACTTTGTTGAAGTATAAATTAAATAGCCCAATCTTCTGAGTGTTTCACGAACCACTTGTTATTTTGGATTAGAAGACTAGGATGTAAGTTAAATGTGGACCCAGTTAACCTCGGCCTCAGGGTTTTAGGCTGGGAGTTGTATGCACAATTCTTTGCTCAGCAACTGGCACCAGCACATTGAAGCTATCTGACTAACTGATTGAATGAATGAATGAGTGAAGATAGACTAGCCCAGTGGTTAAGATCATCACCTTTGGAGCCATAAATCTGTGGGCTATGGCTTTTAGGAAGTAACTTTACCTTTCTAAACCTCAGTGTCCTCATCTGTAAAATGGAGGTAATAGCAGTACTTATATCACAGGGTTATCACAGGACTAAATGACATGATATGCGTATTGAGCTTGGCACAAAGTTAGCGCTCAAAAAAAGGATAGCTATTGTTGTTACTATAAATAAGGGTAGGATGCGTGCAAATGCTATGCAACAGTGGGCTTATTGCACTGCTTGAACTTGACCTAGCGCTACTGCAAGCTTTAACGCACAAGTCATTGTATTTGGTAATCAGCAAATAAAACATGAAGCAGTTGATGGGAGACAAAGAAAATCCCTCTGTTTGCCTTGTGGGAAAAGCATCTGCCTGGGAATCCAGGACTTGGGTCCTAAGTCCTGTCCAGCTCAAACTTACCTCGTGATCTGCGGATGTTTCCCTTCTTTGGGCCTCCATTTTCCCATAAGATGCTTATGGTCTATGTCAGACAATGATACTGGCTCAGGTGAGATTCAGCAGGTTGTCTTTCCTTTTATTCTTTCCCTCACCTTGCCTTTACGGTATTTTAGCACAATTTATAGACTGGTTACCAACATTTAAAAATTGAGAGCTTTCACATAAAATGTTCTATTTCCAGATGCTCTTAAAAGTGGAAAGTATGGCAATACAGGACCAGCTCTCACACATGGCACCTGTGGGCTGGAGCTGCCCAGCAGCTTTTCCCTTTGGGGGGGATGGTGTGGTTTGCCACAGTCCCGGCTGCTCTCTGCTATCTCCGCATTGAGGCCGAAAGGCAGCCGACACTTGCGGTCATACTTGTGCTGCTATCGTTCTCAGGTAGAGTTACAGGAAATTAATATATGCCTGTCGTTTTCAAATGTGGAATAATGAAAATGTGTGGAGTATCTGAAAATATGACATGGTGATTATGTTAGTTTTTGATATCATGCTAGAGAATTCCTAATAAGCCCACATAAGGGATATCTGACTTTCTGGGGAAATTTAACTTTGACTAACAATTGATTAGAACACAATGAAGTTTTATAATGCTGTAGAGTTAGAGGTTAACTGGTAGGAAACTGATAAGGTGCAATAATTTTTGTATGTCCAGCAGAGGAGATAACCAACCCCGAAGGTGACTGTTTTTAAATAATGACCCTGTAAGGCATGAAAGAGGTTTGGCTCTAACTTGGCATTCATATTTCAGCATTTCTTTGCCCATTAATGATTCTCAAATTCTTTTCAAACCAGCTCTGTCATACTGTTGGTTCTTTCATTAATGATTAAATAAGATGACTTTTTATTGGTGAGAATATGGTATTAATCTTTCATCATCATGTAAGTTCCAAAAAGTTTTTGGTTTGTATTTTTTTAAATTTTACCTATAATTTTAAAATAAAATTTGTTAAGGTAGAAATTACATACAGTACAGTTCCCACATTAAGTGTACAAGACTGATGATTTTTTAAAAGATTTTATTTATTTTCATTTTTATTTTTTAAAAGATATTATTTATTTACCTTTTGAGAGAGGGGAAGGGAGGAAGAGAGGGAAAGAAACATTGATATGCAAGAGATACATCAATAGGTTGCCTCTTGCACACCCCCAACTGGGGATGTGGCCCACAACCCAGGCATGTGCCCTGACCGGGAATCAAACCGGCTTCGGTTCACAGGCCAGCACTTGAAACCGACTAGGGCTATAGTTTTTAACAATTTGAAAATTGTTCTTTTAGGCTACAGAGAGTGGGCCCTGTGTTTTCAGAAAAGTAAGTGAATAGTCCCAGCTGACATGGCTCAGTGGATTCAGTGTGGGCCTGCGAACCAGGTTGCCGGTTCAATTCCCAGTCAGGGCACAAGCCTGTTTT